AAAATCATTTATTAACTAATATTTAGTAATGTTAAAATGAATAAATTTTTTTACCTGCAATTGCAAGATAATCTCTTTCCATTGCTATTAGATGTAGATACTCTACTTTATTTAACTATATATGTTTATTAATGAATTAGTAAAATTAAATCAAATAAAATACAGGGGGTATAAAAAGTATTGGCCACTTTTGTAAAACGTTTTACGAAATAACTAACTTAATAATTCTTTATTTTTTTTTATTTTTATCAAATACAGGTTAATATTTCGTTAATCCTCTATTAGCCGCAAGAACAGCTTGAACCCAACATGACATTGACTTGATCAAATTACAGTAATATTCTACAGGTATCGCATTTCACTCCTCTTTAACCACTGTTCCAACTGCCTAATACTTGATGGCTGAGAATCTCGTTGACAGATCTTGATCTCAATATATTTTCTATTGGATTGATATCAGGGCTTTAGGCCAGCCAGAGAAGCACCTCAACATTTGAGGATGTAAGGAACGAATGTGCAACTTTTGCAGTATGCACAGGCGCGTTGTCTTCTTAAAAAAAAACCTTTTTTGACCTTTTTTGCATGAAACTTGACTGTAGAAATGGCATAATTAGCCAAAACATTATGATGCATAATTCCAGTAACGTGACCTTCTAAGGGGATTAAAGGACCTAAGCCAACCTAGGAGAAACACCTCCAGAATATGCGACCAAAGCTCTTTTGGACTGTGGTTACAATGCAGCTTTTATAAAACTCTTCAGAAGGTTTACATCACACTCGTCCAAAACCTGAAGTTCTAAATTATGTGTAGGTACTCTCGTCCGATCAGACAACTCATTTTAAATCTTCTACTGTCTAATTTTTGTAAGTACAGACCCACAAATAACATTTTTCCTTATTACTTTTAGAAATTAAAAGACTGAAAAAGGAATTTGGGAATGGAGATTTTCTTTGGCTAATTCATTTCGAATGGTTTGTATAGAAATGGGTTTGTTTGTTTCATTTATAAATTTAAACATATTTGAGAAAAGGTTTGACGATAGGTTTTTTTATTCCTAATTACCAAATTTTTGAGATATTTGCATTCAGTTTCGTTAAAATTTGTGATCAACCCAAATATTTCTTTAGAAGGCTTTTTAGCTCATATAACTCTCAAACACGTTAAACAGAGGAACGAGAGCAATTTATGACTGCAGAAATCCTAGTATTTGTGTGTCCTAATTTTTTAGTTGCGATAATAGCTCCTTTTTGACCTTCACTAAGTTCCTTTTCACAACACATCCTTGCGGTAAATTTTTTTTCACTAATAAAAAAGTTTTTTTCATATAACTATATGTCCAGCTTTACATTATACAATGGCGATTTTTTTATTTTGATCATTTACATAACAATCATATGTAACTTAAAATAAAAAAAAACTGCAGCTTAATTTAAAAAAGGTGTGACAACGCACGCCTCACTTGTATCATGTTGGGTAGCCAATACTTTTTATACCTTCCTGTATATTAATTATTTTTAAATAGATATCTTTCATTACAATAAAACATTTTGATTTCAATCTGCTTGAGGATTTTTTAAATACATTTCTACTTCATTTTGTTGATGATTTTTTTTTTACCAAAAATGTGATCTAAGAATTCATCATCATTATTATTATTAGCAACTTCTACATTAGTATCACTGGTCAAAATCAAAAAATCAGACATGCGAAAAATCGGCCTAAATTTGGCCTAAATTTGACAAATTATCAAAAAATCAGCTTAGCCGATCGGTATACATTAGAAATCGGCCAAGAAACAGCTGAAATTCAACCTATCTTATTTATAGCCGATTAGCATATTTATTACTGATTGGCATACGTCAAAAATCAGCTAAAATTCAACCCATCTTATTTATAGCTGATTGATGTCCGATTTACATCTGATTGATATACATCAAAAATCGGCTAAAATTCGACCTATCTTATTTATAACCGATTGACGTCTGATTTACATCTGATTGATATACATCAAAAATCAGCTGAAATTTGACCTATCTTATTTATAGCCGATTGGTATACTTATTGCTGATTGGCATACGTCAAAAATCGGCTAAAATTTAACCCATCTTATTTATAGCTGATTGACATACGATTTACATCTGATTGATATACATCACAAATTGGCTAAAATTTGACCTATCTTATTTATAGCCGATTGACGTCTGATTTACATCCAATTGATATACATCAAAAATAGATTTCAAAATAAAATAAAATTCAGAAGGAAATATAACTGATATTTAGGATTAACAG